CCTGCCACTAGGGCCACTAGGGCCTTGGCCCTATTCTTGGTCTGAAATATTCCTTGAGCCCTCTGATTTTTATCCAAAGGGTTCACCAATCACCGCATCGAGATAATCATTATCACCCCGTGGTATGGCCTTAATCATTATCACCCCGTGGTATGGCCATAGTCAAAAAATTAACACCGTGTTCTTTGGGCCAGTCTGCAGGGTCTGCTTGATAGAAAAAGTGCCCATTTGATAGTTCAAATATCTGCATACCGCTAGCAAGAATACCATCATCCCAATCAAGATCACTCTGGTTAAAGTTGATATTGAGACCTGACATGACCATGCATCACTTAGATACACCGTAATACACAATATTTGATAATGACAATATGCAACATTTATATTTTATTCAGTTTCAGGCCAGAGGACGAGTGATGATAGTTGTTCAATGCAGCATCTCAAGGTTTATGCATGACGCACTGGTTTCCCTTGAGCCGAATGCCTGAATTTCATCAATCATTTGTCTGTTGACGAATGGGCTCTATGTCGATGAGCAAGCCTTGGGATGGATACGGCAGTGGGAACCTGGCGTAGCTTCCGTCGCAGCTGGCGCCGAGCTTCCACTTGAACCGCGTCACGATGTAGTGCATGGTCACCAGCGTCTCCACCCGAGCAAAGTCATTCCCGGGGCAGACGCTCGCGCCGCCGCCGAATGGAATGAAGCAGAAGGGCGGTATCGCCGACGGGTTCTCAAACCGTGCCGGGACGAACTTGCCGGGCTCGGGGAAGATGGCCGGGTCCAAATGCGTCATGCTCATCGGTTGTATCACCTGCCAGCCTTTGGGGATGTGATAGCCACCGAACTCAACATCGTTGGTCGTCTTCTTCAGGATGCTGGGCACCGGCGGGACAAGCCGCAGGGTCTCCAGCGCTGCCGCCCAGGTGTAGCGCATCCTACCGAGGTCGTCCCATGAAAGGGCCTCGCCGGGCGCCTTGCACCTCGCGATCTCTTCTTGCTCTGCTCGAATCATGATAAGTGCAATTTATCAATTACTCTCTTCTTTTTTTTTCAAAATATAAGTGTTTCTGGTTTCGGTTCTGAGTCAACTATGTCCAACTTTGACTAACAATTGTTAGTAAAATACATTAAATATAATTAGTTTCATATTATGATAGTTTGTATCATAATATGAAACTAATATGAAAATTGCTTATATTTCAAAAATTTAGTAGTAGAATCGATGGGCAAAGATTGATCAACCGTATGACATGCGAAATGATGGGCGGTTACCGTGGACAACTTTGTCATAGGAATCCCTGTTGGCGTCGAGGTGCCGGATGAGGAAGGTGATGAGCGCGGCGGTGGTGTCGTGCGCCGCGATCATGAGGAAGATGACGTTGTCGATGATCTCCTCGTCAGGGAGTCCCTCGGCGATCATGTGGGTGACCACGTCGTCGGCCGGCGAGCTCTGCCCTCGCTCCAGCTTGGTCCTTCTGTCTTGAATGACCCCGGCCACGGTGCGCCGCCCGCGCCTGCTCGCGGCGAGGCACTTGCCGAACAAGGTGAAGGGCAGGTTCACCGGCACCACCATGAGGCCCCTCACCAGCTGCTGGAACTTCGTCGACAGCTCCCGCCGGACGGCGTCGTCCCTCCGCAGGCCGAAGATGACGGTGCACATGACGTCGAAGGTCAGGTCCTTCATGGACGGCATCACCGCCACGGCGGCGCGGCCGCGCCACTCGGCGTCGAGGTGGAGGCGGACCTCGGCGTCCATGGCCGCCACGTACCGCTTGCACGCTTCCGGCCGGAGGAACGGCATCATCATGGCCCTGACGCGGCGGTGCTCGTCGCCGACGACGTCCCGGATCGTGCGCTGGCCGACCATCAGGGACATCGACGCCGTGTTCTTGGGGGACACCGCGTCGCTGGCGAAGACGAACTTGTTGCCGGCGGCGCCGATGAGGATGGCCGTCGGGCAGCCGAAGAAGGACAGCCTCGAGACGGGGCCGTACGCGGCAACCCAGCGGCGGAGCCAGTCGTCGCCGGTGTTGGAGCGGAGGGCGCGCAGGTAGCTGAGCGTCTGCCCGACGACGGGGAGACCGAAGGAGCCAGGCGGCACGGGCTTTGTCTTCTCGCCAGTGCCGCCGGCTGAGAAGAACGAGGTGATGGCCACGGCAAGGATGGTTACCGCAGCCGCAAAAATCATCCACGCAGCAGAACCATCCATTGCTTCTGTTTCGGTCAAGAAGATCGAGCGCAGTGATCTCAGTGATTAACTCGAGTATTGTTGCAAATCAGGTGTTCTGATCTGCGGTAGATGATGGCCAACTACCCCATCTTGTATTAAACAATTGGCAAGGGGAATCATTGTTGCTGGGCAAAGCGAGGATCCCATTGGAGTAAAGACAAAATCGAGGTAAGCTACTAAGGCCCTGTTCATTTGATGTAGTCCTAACGACTCTTTAAGTATCCTATCGGGTGTCCTCTGACTCAGAAGGTCATAGATGAATGTTAAAGAACCAAAAGGAAAGACAACATTTATGTTAAAAAAAAGAATAACTAATACTCGATTCCTAACTCGCACGTATCATCATTAGTCTACTCCTTGAAAACAAAGCACAAGTCTACATCTAGCTATCGATTAAACAGTGTTTGTCGAATTATCTTTTTGACTTTGTATCAGATGCACCAATCCTTTTTTTTTTTTGTTCCAAGAGTGTAAATGCTATTATCCAAAAACACTTTCCTATCACCGTGGAGAAAAAAGAATGCAAGTTCCAATTTTTTACCCCAGCATGTCATTCTTGTCTACCTTGCCTGATTCAAAATAACTTCTTTTTTAGAGGTGGTCAAAGTAAAATTCACTTAAGTTTGACAAAATTTATGGAGAACCAATATCAATGACACCAAATAAGAATATTATGAGTATAATTCATGATAAATCTAGTTATACTACTTTGATCTCTAATCTAAGCTTAGTCAAATTTCAGAGAATGACAAAAAGCTACGACATACTCTTGATCTGAACGATTATCATGAGCATGGATGGATATCCTCTCACAAGGAGAAAAATCACATCCAACCCATCTAGGCACGAAGTCGTCGCCTAGTAAGTTGATGCACTGTTGAACACTTATGTAGGGTGAACCATACTTGATAGAGGGGAAAAAGAAAAAAAAAAAAGAGAGGAGAGACTAGTGATGTGATCTTTCTGCTGAATTTAAACAAACGTAGGCTGTATGTGGTTTGTGAAAGCGATGGCCCTACTAAAATATATGCTGATGAGAAGACAGCCTTTTGACTATTAGAATCTGGCCCAACCTCCGAGTCGAATAATGTGCAACTGTTCCAGACCAAAACCCACAGATGTTTGGTGGGGAAATAGAAAGAAATAATGGGCTGTTTCTAACCAGCTCGAGCGCATTCAAAGAGAACAGCCCATTAGGGGGCACATGGCCTGAAATAGTTTCCATGTTCAATTCAAATCACATCACTCATCTGAATGGGCTCGAGCGCATTCAATGAGATTATAGACAGGGAAACTATTTTAGGCCATGTGAATGCGTGGGCCGAGATAGTACGTGCAAGCACCAAACCCTGTTTTTTTTTTTTTATTATGTCTGTTCGCTTCCTCCAAAAACAAATATGTGTTCACTATCTATTTTCTACCTACATGTTAAATTAGGACCCTGTAGACAAACAGATACCCTGCTTTCTGTAATCTTTGAAAGTTTGAACCTCCGTTTAATATATGTGACATGAAAGTGGGACGAGCCGGTCACAAAAATCATTCATGCAAAACAAAACTTTTGGTGAATTTTAGCATGCAGAATGGATATTTATGACAATTAGTTTAGCCTTCATCCAAAATATTGTGTTCGCAAACTGCATTTTAATTATTCTGTTATTTACAGCTCTGAAATTTGTATAAAAATAGGAGTAGGATTTTCATTACCTTCGTTTGGCCGTGAAAAACAATATTGTGAAATGAAACAATTATTGAAGGGCTCCCCCATCCTGAAACCGCTCAAGTACCTGATCTGCAGTGTCGAAAAGTTTCCTCTCTGTGCATGGCACAGTCGAGAATAAATCATGTTCGACTGAAGAAAACAGCTGTGAACCTGTGACCTGACTTCAATCTGCTGTTCGGATAACAGACATAGGAATGGAATAAGAATAGAAGTTTGAAAGGGGGCAGAATAAAACCCCACATGATTTGGAGCCAGATTATTCCCCTGCGTGAAGGTAGAGTAGTTCTTCTTTTGGCAATCAGCAATTTCAGAAAGTAATAATATTTCGTTTCAGAAATGAACAAAGAAAGTGTGTCGAGAGGTTTCCCGTTTCCCCAATAGTCCTTAATATCCATTAAAGGAGAAAGTAACGTATAAGCAGTGTGGATCATGCATTCTCAATTGCATCTCTGGAATTTATGCTTACGGCGCACTGGACACTCAAGATGTTGAAAATCAACTGCCGGCTCCTTGCAGTCATGGTCACAAAATGGCTGAAATACATGTGAACTTATGTCATGTCCATGTAATCCATTTGCAATAGAAAGTGTAAAGCGCACTTCCTCGAATCAATCCACCATCCATATCAACCTCTTCAAAATGCGACCACTGATATAAAATAAATACACGATCCACCACTTCCCAAGCGTGTTCATGGACATGATTAACCTCTTTTCTTACGAATTATGGTATGATTAGCATCCAGTTAATGGGAACAGTTAGGTCCACGCACCTGTTGTCTGTCGCATTCCATTCCAATGTATATATCCACTCTGCCAAAGTGGCAAGCAAGGCGACCTTTATTCCATCACTAGCCCACAAAGCATAGTGTTGAGCTCCATTCTGGGAGCTGAAAATTGCAGCAAGAGATAAGCATCGCGTTGATATTGTGTCCCCCACTGGCCTAAATTTAGCCACTTTAGTTCGTTAACCACTAGACGGGTCGTAGTCTAATCATTGTCGTCGCACGTATTTGTCTCTCCGAAGTCCGTACTTCCAACGAAAGGGCTTGTAGCCTAGTGGTTACAAGAGCCTCAGTAGCACCTGAGATCCTGGGTTCGACCCCCAGTGGAAGTGAATTTTCTAGGAATTAACGTTTTTGTGTTTTCAACGGTAGGCGACGTGGCCGTCGACTGCAGGCACCAGTGGTGACTTCGTTAATCTGGAGGATTTGCCGGCTCAGTCTTTGAAGATGCTCATAAGCACTAGTTCCTTATATCAAGTTTTGTCCTTGTAGTTGACATGGGCGGTGTTGTAGTGATCGTAGGGTGGATCCACAATTTTAGCACTAGTATCCCTTGGAACAAAAGAGATGGGTTCAGATGAATGGAAGTATAGTGTGCGCACAATGATGATCATCACAGGAGTAGCAGAGTGATACCACCTCAGTGTCTTGTATGTGCACTCTGTTTGAGATCCAAAGTCTTGCGCTATAACTTTTTGAGATCTTTTATAGTATTTATGAGGTATTTAGAGGTACTACAATCTAGACCGTTGATTCAAGAAAGGTAAGGTATCGAATAAAAATTATCATAATAGATGGCAGGTGTGTAATAATATGGCAACAACGCGTCGTTTATTTTTTAGTTTCATAATTGTTCGTCGATCATCTCTCTCTCTCTCCCTCTCTCTCTCTATTGACGAGCAATTGCCATGGAAGATTGTTAGGTAGCTGTCGAGGCGTTAGGTGTTTTTCATCAAGTAGCCTTGAGATCTTGTTCGAGAAAGCATGATTAATTGTAGGCAAGTCATGAGCGGCGAGAGATCAAGCTTGGATGATTATTTACTGGTTTTCTACTTGATTACTTAGTTGAATCATGGGTATCATTCAACCTTGTCCTCTAAGCCGTAACAAAATTGTGGCAATCACATATACTAAAATATATCACCATATTAATCTTCAATACATAGGAAATAATACTCTATTATATTGTAGACTTTCTTTAAATATTTCCAAAACCTTCCCAAAAGTATAGCTGCATCGATAGACATGAAAGATTCGCTTGAAACTTACTTAAAATAACACATAATCATGTAAGTTAAGAAAGAAACAATCCCGATGATTTCGGCTCACCACTTCCTCATCCTTTCAATCGCCGTGCGCCCATAGCCATGGCTTCTACCACTATGTCACTATCTGAGATTGTAAAGGTTTTCCATCTGCAACAATGTAAGCTTCATGATCATTGGAGTATGGAAACCCCAAGGTATGAATGTTTTGGTGATTGAATGATCATGTTGTATGTGATTAACTCTTCTGTAGGTTGTTACCTATGGTCACATATGATGGAGGATTACGCCAACCTTTTTCTCTATTGGACATCTCGATGATTGGTTGCCTCATCAACTCATGGACGGACTTGATGAAGTTGCGGTTGAAGAGATGGATCAAGGCTAAGGACATGCTAGAACCAAGCAACTATTGGCTTGGTACGGTTTAGATGTAGGCTTGAGTCCATAGGAAAAACCAGACTATCAAGAGGGTTCGAGTTGGTTCTCTTAGTGCACACTAGTGGTAGAGATCATTGGATGCAAATGTGAGGCTCTCAGAGGCTAGGGTAGCAGAAGAGAAGTTGAGGAACCAAGTTTGGATGAAGTTGGAGTCAAAGATCAAGGAGGAGATCAAGATTAGCTTCAAGAAGGGTCACCGCATATGATGCGGTAACTGCAGGAATTGCAGACTGAAGATTGAGATCCTCTGGTGAAGTCATCGTATGAAAGAGGGTGACAGTCACCATATGATTTCCAGAGAGTTGGCAGTTTCTGCAAGTTCAGAGAGAAGAGGTCACCGTATGATTCGATGGTAGTCACTGCATGATGCGGTGACTGTAGAGAGAAAATCCAGAGAAAGAAGAGTCTCTGGTTGACTCACCGTATGAGCCAGGGGTGTCAGTCACCATATGATGCGGTGTTTTTCTTTCAAATATTGGTCTTAGATCTTCTTCACCCACAATCCTTAGTGATGCTACATAATTAAGGATGATTCCTTTCATTGGTATCTCCATGTGGCTCAATCGATCGTATTGGGAGAAGAGCATATCTTGCACCTTTGTATCATCATAAACTATTATACCTTTTTCACTTTTGTATTATTGTCTAAGATTAGAACAAACTATTTCCTCATCCTATGCAGAAAATTTCATCTCTTAACAATATTTATCTCTTTGTAGTACCCCTTTTTTGGTTGTTGTTGTGAACAACTTTAAGCCATGAAATCCATTTATTTTCTCCCAATCATCAGTGTTACATTCTACTTGTCTATCTTTGTTATGTAGTTTGGGCCTATCCCGAACATTTTTTGTGCAGATTTTCCCTAATGCTAAACAATATAAGGTCTAACGTGCTGGATATCTGATACTATCATCACATATAGCCTTATGCATTGGACCTACTGGATTTTAGGAATTTGTGCTATAGCATGTGATTTTTCTTAGATATTTGTGCAGCGATGCAAGTCATTGTGAAGTTCTTCTAACTTGGATAGTGATATTATTGAGAGAACAAGCCCAAAGAATAATTGATAGCATGTCCTATATTTTTATTTGCTTTTTTATCATTGGGATTTGTTATTATTGTCCAATATCTACTATTGTAAAGACCTTAGGCTTACTTCTAATTTAGATAGAAATTTTAAGTGCTACTCGAAATTTGAATTGTCTGTTTGAGACAAGTAAATGAATTATGGTCATCTCCAATTGTATCCATAATAATTCAAATGAACCGCTATAAGTTAGTCAAAGACAAGTGATATGTTGAAGTGATTTTAATTTAATTTTGAAATTTCAAGTGTTGGAATACAAATCTTGCATGACCTTTCAGGTAACAAGGCCTTTTGGTTTACTACAGGAATAAAATCGACAATTTATGCTCTGAGTTTAACTTGTGTTTTGCTTTATTAGGATTTGGTGTAAACCGAAAGCTCTCTTCTGAGCCAAATACGTGCCAATTCGATCCTGGACAATGGCCTATATAGATATTCACGGAGTTAAACTAGGTGAAATATCAATTATCTGTAGTTTGAAGACCGTCATTGATATTTTTAATTATCTAGAAGGTTTTAACTAACTCATTCGCTTGTATGGCTAATGATTGTAGTTGATCCTTCTACGTACCATGGGTGATAGTGCAAATGACAATGGTATATTCTTTCTGTCACTTGTATAGGTATGGGGATCATCATCTGTCAAGAAACTGTAAGCATATAGATATGGGGATCATCATCTGTCAAGAAACTGTAAATCATGGGCCGCACATGTCCCTGTGCTAGTAGTATAGTAGTAGTTGCTTGATGATTTGTCTGCTGTCTCCGTGTGACGTGAAACGGATAATGATCACGTTGTACCGGTCGAGCCATCCTTAATTTTGCTCTGTCCATTACTAATTTCAGTTGGCGATCGACACAATGAACTGAAATGATTTCTCTACTTTTCGTTCCGTCTTGCCACTGATTGAAATCACGCAACTATCGAGCAAAGCTTGGTTGCTCCGCCAACGCGGCCACGTTATTAGCTGGAGGCCGCCAGACCGGCGTGTGTGTCGTCAAAGAACACCGGGACGAACTAGAAGTCTAGAACGTGCATCTCTTCGCAGAGGTAACGCATAGACCCGCTGCGCCAGCTACGTGCAAGCCTGCATGTACAACCTGAACGCTGCACGCAACAGCGCGACGTACGGGTCTGCTTTATCACATTGTATGTTTACCACACCATTTACCTTTATCCTATCTATATAGTTTCCAAGTACACGTGTGGTGTGGGGCGTTATTACCTGTCACATGATCTGCTGCTATGAACTATGCTTACGGGCTTAAGCCCCTATTCTCTCTGTAACTACAATTGGTTAGGGTGCCATGCCATGTCATGCTAATGAACACCTCTTATCTGTTTTTTAAGACCACACCAAAGCGGAGTACTACTAAAATTGGTTTATGCTCCTTTAGGGGCTGATTGGTTCTCGTACTAGCGGATCCTGGCTCGCATTCGCCAGCCTGGCTCCCGCGGCCCAGGCTCGATGAGTGCAAGGTGCGAATGATTGGTTGCAGTCTCCATACATCCAGACCCAACAAAGAACGGTGTTTGGTCGTCTGCATCCACGAATTCCGCTCTCACAGGCCGCGCACCCTGGCCCACACGCTTGCAAGAGGCCAACCAGGCTCTGGAGAAACGGCCGATTTCTCCGCATCCGGGGAGACAGGCTCATGGGAGCATTTTGCACCGGCAGGGCCTGGCCCAATGAAGCCTCCAGCCATCCAAACACGGCTGTCCTGCATCTGGCGGGCCTGGTTCCCCCATATACACCTAACCAATCAGCCCCTTAGATGATGATGCGCTCACCTAGCAAGTCGCTGAACTATTATGGACGCCCCTGAATTTTCAATCCTTGGATTATTGCACCACTGTTATCCAATCTTCTACTACCTCCGTTCTAAAATATAAGCATTTGTTGACTTTTCAGCATCACGTTTGACCCTTCGTCTTATTCAAATTTTTATACAAAAATATAAAATAAATAAGTCATACTTAAAATATGTCTAATGATAAAACAAATTGTAACAAAATAAATAATATATTATGCTGAAAAGTCAACAAATGCTTACATTTTAGAACGGATGGAGTACTAGGCAGTTCCTCTGCTGCGCGGCACCCTGTAGATTCCGTGGTCCCGTGCGGTCCGGACCAACAGTGGTTACAGGTGATATGATCACAGGAATGTCATCCATGATCCATCCATTTGCTGACTCGGCGTTAGTTCCGAGCCTCATCATGCTAGGGACGCCATGCTGGAATGCAAGGCTGGATAGGAGACAAAGCTGGGGCAAAATGGAATCTAGGACAGATATATTGCACGCAAACGTTTCCCGGTTGCAACGCCTGGAAATCGTGAACATAGCGCATGGACAGGACGAACTTAGCAATGAAACAGAGGTTACAGAGCAGTTAGTAGGTCGACGCCGGATCTGGACGTGGGGACGCGCAGGAACAAGGCAGAGCAATCACGTGAGGGCCGGTTGCCCAGCGGCGCCAAACGTTCGCAACAAGCGAGGGTGTCTCTGCCTCATCCGATGCCTGTCACGTAGG